TTGCCTTCCCCTCAGATGTCCCCCCTCCCCACATACCCCACCCTTCCCCCACATCCTGTCACTCAGAGGCCCTGGCCCCGCCCCTGATGGAACTTGGACCCTGTGGTCCCTGCTCCAGGCGCCCCTTTCCTGCCATCTCCCTCCTGTGTGGATGGTCTGTGGTTGCTCTGTGATGGGCTCTTTGGTGAATTCTAAGCTGCAGAGCAGAGGGCCATGCCCGGTTTCCTCCCTGGGTACCAGGCCGCTGGAGCCTGGCAATAGGTCCCCTGCCCAGGTGGTGACAGGAGGAGGTGGGTGGGGAAGGGAACGTGGGGGGGGGGGGCAGGTCTAGGAGGAGGCAGTGATGGCACAAGTCCTCACCCAGCCTAGAGCCCGGAGCCCCAAGGGGCAGACCAGTGGGTGCCCAGTGGGTGCTCAGTGGCTGAGGGTCCCAGGGGTCTTCCTGCCCTTTGGCCTCCCTCCAAACCCAGAGGATGGGCCCCCGGGAGCTGGCAGTGGGGTGCTGGGGTCCTGTGTCCCCACTGCCTGGCCACCCCACACTGGGCGGCGTCACCGTCATCTCTCACCAGCGTGAGGGGTCCTTCCTGTCCCCACAGCGCATTTCCTGCTTCAGCCTAAGGCCGAGTGTCATTTCTACAACGGGACGGAGCAGGTGCGGTACCTGGAGAGATACTTCTACAACAGGCAGGAGTATGTGCACTTCGACAGCGATCTGGGGGAGTACCGCGCGCTGACCGAGCTGGGCTGGCCTGATGAGAAGGACTGGAACAGCCAGGAGGACCTCATGGAGCAGAAGCGGGCAGCGCTGAACAAGTTCTGCAGACACAACTACTGGGTGTCTGAGGGATTCTCAGTGCAGCGGAAAAGTGAGCGCGGGGTGGGGGAAGAGGGACAGGTGGCTTGTGTGCCTGTGTGTGTGTGTGTGTGTGTAGGACGGACGCACACGGGGCTGTGAGGAGCACCCATGAGGGGCCTGAGGTCGGCTGTGGGACCCTGAGGTCCTGTCTTGTGTTGGGTGTTTCCGGGGGTGCCCAGTGTCCAGTCGGGGGAGGGTTTGGGGAGCAGCGGGGAGGGAGGGAGGTGGGAGGTGGGAGGAGGGAGTCCTCTGTCTTGGCCAAACCTCCCCTGACCCTGAGCCCTGGAATAGGGGTGCTGGGTACACAGGCCTTTCCCTGGGCGGAGGGTCAGGCTGGGTGTGAGGGGCGGGGCCTCCGAGGCACCTCTGGCCTCTCTGAGCTCCTTTCAGGTCTCAGTGTCTTGTTCCCCCCTCAGTGCCCTGTGTTTACAGAGGGGGTGATGGGGAGCCTGGGTCTGATTGTAATTGTGTTACTTAACACACTGATGTCACACCTACACAGGCTGACAGCATTTAAGTCATTACATGTTAACTGTTTAGAGTTGAGACAATTTACCTCACATTGTTTTCTTAAATCTTTTTCAATGTTGCCAAATACTCAGATGAAATTTTGTTTTTAATTTTTAATTTATCCTTGTTTGATTTCTCAGGTTCTTCTACAGTTTTCACGTAGGTGTTGGCTAATGGCTGTTCCTGCTCCAAGAATGGCCTATTGTCTGTCATCCCTGGGATCCGGGCCTTTTTCTCAGTGATTTCCCGGGTTCTCTAGGCAGCAGGACAGACACTTTACTGACACTGATTCAGCATTTTCTCCATTTCCTGGCTTGTGTTTTGATTCTGTTTTATGTCTTTCATGTTAAGAATTTAAACATCTTTAAGGTAATGAAATGCACTCAGAAGTTGCTAGCAATGATTTACCATCAATCTTAAATCTACCTTTTAGGACCCACGTTGTTCCTCCTCCTCCTTCTCCTCATCCTCCTGCTCCTCTTCTTCTCTCTCCCCCTCCACCGGCTCCTCCTCCTCTTCCTCCTACAAATCTGTATTTATTGAGCCTGGTCTCAGTCAGGAAGCAAACATATGAATGAGTCCCAGCCTCTGCCCTGAGTTCAAATGTCACATTGAAAAGAGACAATTATAAAAAGACAGGAATTCCGATAACAGGAATTCCTTTGCTGGCTTCTTTTGAGAAGGAGCGGGTAGCTCAGTGAGTATCACTGTAAGTGTTATAATGAGTGCTGCCCTGCTCCTCCCTCTCCCTCAGGACTCAGCCCCCGGAGGTGAGGAATCACCGTCCTTCCTGCTTCCAGGGGAACCATCTCTGTGTTCTCAGGTGTGATCACATTCCCAGGACTTCACACCCTGAGTCCCCATCTTCCCCAAGCTGTCCCCGAGCTTCTCCCCACGGCTTTCCTTCTATTTTCTCTCCATCCTGTATAATAAATTGACAGAACTGCGGAATAACTGGTTGCTATAATGTGCACTGACCTCCAGGGGACAGGTGCTCAATGCCGGAGTTGCTCCCAGTGGGCCTGAAGCTGGTCTCAAGGCTGGTGAACTCAACAGTGGTGGTGGGAGCCTCTCCTGCATCCACAGCAGCGCTAAGGATGTCCAACTGACAACTTAGGCCTGCTCCCCAGGGGGCAGTCGTAAGCCATCAGTAGGACATTTGCGGAGGACTCCTGGACTGTGAGAGGATGCTGGAAGGGCTGAGGGACCTCCCAAAGTTCACAAATTTGGTGCACCTGGCCTCTAGTATATAATAAACAGCTGACATAAAGTGATGGCTATGTTCCAGCCACTGTTGTACATGTTTCAGGTCCATTGGTCCTCATATGTCCTTAAGTGGTGAGTTAGTATTATCACCCCCTTTGCAGGTGAGGAGCTGAGCAGAGAGGGTCTCCCAGGATCACCAGTAAGAGGCAGAGCCTGGATGTGACCAGGCAGCCCTGCCCCAGGAATCACACTGGAACTCACACACTCTGTGCCTCGCAAAGATTTGTAAACACTTCATTCAACAATGAGTAACTATTTCCAGATACGAAAAATTCCCCAAATTTCCTCAGTCTCTCAAATCCAGAGGCCTGGGCTGTATGCAGAGATTCAAGGCCCATGGCACTACCAGCTGCGGGGCCACAGGCCGGGTTTGAGGGGGGCCTGCTGGGGCCTGGGACTGGAGACGG